AATCAATGCCTGCTTTGCCCAGCTCGCCCTTCAGCCGCGACCGCTCGGAGCGGCTGCCGGCGGCGGCGCACCGCTCAGTGAAGAAGTCCTTGAACTCCTCCCAGAACACGATGGAATGGCAAAAGAACTTGATCTCGTGGGAGTAGCCTGACTGAACGGCGATGGCGACGCGCGCCTGTGGATGTGCTTCACAAAACCTTTCCCACGAGTTGAAGCGCGACTTCAGCTGCTTAGCTTGGTTAGCTGCACCGCTCAATAGCGGCGTTGGACCTAGAGCCTTGCTGCCGGACTGGGCACCATGCTCATGTGTGCTCATGGGGGTTGAGTTCGTTGGAAAAGCGTATTACGGTTGCTGGGATGCCAACAGAACAAACGGGAGGGAGAATGATGCATGATTGAGGATGATGTCCCCAATGACCCTCCAGGTGGGGGGCCATCATGCCCATCATGGGGCACATCCTTACCGGGAGGCCTACATTCTCGTCGTTGTTCATCGTTCCTTGCTCGAGTCCCCCGGCGCGGCCGGGCCCCGCGCCCCCCTCCCGCTCCTCTGGGGCCCTTCTTGAGCAACACCCTGCCTTGGGGACGCAGGACGAGGGCGACCGCAGCATCGCCGGCTCGCTTGGCCCGCCAGCCGCCCATTCTGCAACTGCCCGCACTCGAGATGGCCTCCTGATGGTGCGTGGAGGGGTGCCCCGGGCCCTGCGGCGCCCGCGGCTCGGCTAGTCCGGCGAACACCCCCTCGGGCCGGTGCCGGCTCCCGGCCCGTTGTATGAGCCCCCGTGTGCCCCGTTGGTGCCCGGCCACCCCCTCTGCGACTTGTTCGCCCCCTACGACGCGTTTTGTGCGCGCCAGCCCCTCCCCCCAATTCCCGCTTCCGTGTGTCGCGGCCCCAAGCCCTGGTGCTTTCCCTTCAGCGAATTGAGACGTGGGGTGGCGTGGCTTGGCGGAGGAGCCTGTTGCCGCCGAGCGATTTGCGTTCGGGCAGGCCGCTGCTGCTGCTGCCGCCGCGTGCCGGGCGGCCCGCCGTCCCCCCCTCTTTTCGCTCACTCCGTGCCTGCCGTTCTGGTCGTCACGCCCCTACTCTCCCCCCCGTAACCCGCAGATGCTTGCGCTTCTGCGCTTGCCCCGTCCTCCCCTTGCCCGGTCTTCCCGCGTGCCGCCTTCACCTTTGCGGCCCCCGCCCGCCCGCCTGGCCGCTCTCCCAGCTACTGTGCCGGGGTGGGTGGGCCCGCTTTCTGGTGGTGGTGGTGTGCGGGTCCTCGACCTGCCCCTCCCCCCCACTGGTATGCTTGCCGCCCTTGGGCTGGCCATCAGGCGCCACTCGCCTCCCTCCCCGCCCTTTGCGCCCGACCGCTCCCTGAGCCCGCCCTTTGCCGCCCGGGCGGTATTGCATGCTTTCATACAGTCCAGAGCTAGTGGGCACGGCTTGTGTGCCCCCAGCCCATTAATGGGCATTGCCTCTGTAACATCACAGATCACAGATCACAGAGATTTCCGTTGGCCGCGACGTTAAATAAGGAGCTGGATGAGTGTCGGTGGGTGATACCACAGGCACGAGTTCGAACCCCAGCCGGGACACTAGCTGGGACTTTGCCTCACGGCACCTTCGTGGCGGCATCTGGGCGGCGGACGGCTGCCCGGCAGACCGGCATGGCGCTTGCAAGACGGAGCCTCCCCGGGATGCCATCGGCGGCCAGATTTTCCTCGCTCTGGACAGCCGGCAGGGTTAGCGGGTTCGGCCCCAGCACATTAATGTGCCCAGTCGCTGTAACACACACACACATTTCCGTTGGTTTCATACTTGTATTGTCCAGAGCTAGTGGGCACGGCTTGTGTGTCCCCAGCCCTTTAAAGGGCCCGGTTCTCTGTAATCTCAGTCAGTCAGTCAGTTTCCGTCGTTGGCCGCGACGTTAAATAAGGAGCTGGATGAGTGCCGGTGGGTAAAGGTAAAGGTAAAGGTGGGGAAGAGCCTCCACAAGCTTAACTTCCCGGTTTTAACGTCTAGCTTTAGACCATTATTTGATCTGCCCGACGCGCCAAGTGCAGTACCCCCCACTAGTAGTGAATGGGTCCCGGGGAGGCCTGTGCCGAAGCCTTGGCGATTCTATTAGGCGTTCCCGAAGGAATTGGCTTGGATTGGCGCTGAGCCGGTCAGCTATGCCGCGTTTGTCCTCACAAAGTTTCGACATGGGAGGGAATCGAACCTGTGCCCTCTCGGAGGGTTTAGACACTAGCTCCAGCGCCTTCAAAGAAGGCCTTTCTCAGCCGCGGCCGTGGGTGATACCACAGGCACGAGTTCGAACCCCAGCCGGGACACTAGCTGGGACTTTGCCTCACGGCACCTTCGTGGCGGCATCTGGGCGGCGGACGGCTGCCCGGCAGACCGGCATGGCGCTTGCAAGACGGAGCCTCCCCGGGATGCCATCGGCGGCCAGATTTTCCTCGCTCTGGACAGCCGGCAGGGTTAGCGGGTTCGGCCCCAGCACATTAATGTGCCCAATCCCTGTAAAACACACACACACACTTTATATTTTCGTCGTTGGCCGCGACGTTAAATAAGGAGCTGGATGAGTGCCGGTGGGTGATACCACAGGCACGAGTTCGAACCCCAGCCGGGACACTAGCTGGGACTTTGCCTCACGGCGCCTTCATGGCGGCATCTGGGCGGCGGACGGCTGCCCGGCAGACCGGCATGGCGCTTGCAAGACGGAGCCTCCCCGGGATGCCATCAGCGGCCAGATTTTCCTCGCTCTGGACAGCCGGCAGGGTTAGCGGGTTCGGCCCCAGCACATTAATGTGCCCAATCCCTGTAAAACACACACACACACTTTATATTTTCGTCGTTGGCTGCGACGTT